GCAGTTATAGAAGTGATTCTGTATCTGTCTCAGGTATGTGAAAAATTTTACTATCCTTGTCATCACAAAGAAGGAGAGGAAATTAGGACTATATAAAATCTGTCTCAAAGTTGTGGAGTTACTTGATATGAATAAGAATAAATTGTGTCCAGAACGTTATCCAACAAATGATACTGTTTCCCTATGCGGCATTTCTAATAAACAGACTAAAATGCGATTACAATCTACCACAGTGTCCAAGTTTTACTCCTATATTAATGAAATACACTATCTTTTAACATCTGATTTTCAAAATAATTTTAAAAAATTTGATTCCCAAAGATAAAAAGTCCGACATTGATTGCATTTTGTATCCGGTACTGTTACCGATTCAATAAATGAAGCTGAATTATTCTACGTACATTGTCGATGAATATGACCAAACACAAATAAAGTAACTACTGATTTGTGTTCAGTAGTATGCAGTTTAGTGGAGTTGATAACAGGAAATGGAATCGTTGGCAGCGATTTATGAAAAATGATGAGTTTTTAATTGGAACAAAATGTTCTCCAATTCTTCAGATCAAAAAAATCTTGAACACTAATACATCCAAGACAATTCTTTTCTAACGTAGATGCAGTATTATAGAAGTTCCCAGAAGCTTTATAGTGAGCGGTAGTAATAAGTTTGAAGCGTTAAGCACTGCGTGAATAAGGCGGTAGTCAGGGGCGAATAGTTCATAGATATTTATTTCACTTACGAGTTATTTGTTATTTTATTGTTCTCCTTAAGAGCTTTTGATTGACCCGTCATCCATTTCTGCATAACCTATAGTTCTGAAATAATTACTTGTTGAGTGAAATCGTTTGTCTGCTTTTTATGGATTATGCTGCTTTTTGGACAAGAAACTCAGTTATATATACACATACATGACTCATTGTCCAAAGTATAAGGAGAATCAGCACAAAACTTAGCACAATGTTGTACGTGGGTTGGGGGTGCCGATTCGTATTTCTCATCGTGTGAGTGAACTGAGGTAAATGAGGTTTGGTCAGATTAGTGCCGTTCAAGTTCAGTGTTAGGAGTGAATCGGCAAACTACGTAGTTCAGACAATTATTACTAAGCAAAGACATGGTAGAGCAGTCTTATAACCGTGCTTTACAGTGCTTTTAGTATTGTCTGAGGTGTTCTGAAAACTACTAGCAACTAGGGTGTTACATGAAATTTCTGCTTATGCAGTCACTTAGCCTGGTGAAAAAACATCAAAGATCAGAAAACACCGAACAATTATCATCCCCATTCTGAAGTAAAAATCATATATACCATTGCAAAATGTAAAGCGCTTTCCAAATCATAACTAGTTACGAACTCCCAGTCTCCTCAAGTCTGTACAACGGATAACGCAATTCCATCTACGACGTACTTGTTCTCACCTGAATAACCAATTTTCTTTGTGGGACATTTAACACTAATTATTGAAACTGAACAAAAATCGAACCATTCACTTAGTATTTCCAGATCCTTGTGAAGTTGTCCTGTACCTTCCTCGTTTTCTGTCTTTTCTATACATTAATTCCACCTACTAAATGTGGAGCTGTGGCTCATTGACTTAAGGAGACGACATTCAAACAATGGGTCACGCGTTCAAGCTCCACTTCACTTATCGAGGTCTGGGCAGCAAGGTAGTATCATTAGCCCTCAAAAAATAGGCCTGGCTCATTGCTAACCGCACAAATATGCCCAAGGCTGCTGAGTGCATCTGTCTCTCTTTGAGAATAGTAAAAATCGATAACTTCATAATGAAAGGATGGTCCTTGAAGTATTTCAGAAATGGTATCAGTTTCAAGACTATATTCTGAGGAGATTTGCTTTACGTGGGCCTACTTATTGAAGAGTTTAGAATCTGCTTATACTCATTTTAACCCTCTAATGAAGAAATATTCGAATTATGAACTTACTCTGAATTCTAATATTGTTTGGCTGTGTTTTTAATCTAGTGTATGGAATTTTATCGAGAGCCTAAACCAAATTTACTGGTAATGTCAAAGTAACTCATGAACAGCCATATGAAAAACCATTGTGATTCACAGTAGAGAATGAATTACCTTATTGATTGATCACTGGATAGAAAAAAGTTAAATGTCAGACAGAAAAAAATCAACTTAGAACCTCACACATAAGTGCATGCACCCAAGTTGCTACACTTCACAGTAGTATACAAAGAACGAGTAGATGGAAAAAGACTGATAAGTGTATAGGAGGAGACAGGACTTAACAATTAGGGCTACTCAGAACATTCAAGATTTAGAGGACTTTAAAAGCCGAATACATCTGCGCCATTGTGACTGATTTTCAGCCGTCACCAAGAGTTCTCAATCACTGATTCCAATCGTCTAGGCAACCCCAACTAGGACGCCTAAATCTCCATACATGGTCAGAGACTTCATGGCTTGGTGTAGCGTCTTAGCACGACCACCCTCAGCCTTCTTATAACCTAACGCAACTTCTGCTAGAAATGCACGTCAAGGTAGGCGGTGGATCGACACGCGCAACACATTCCCAGACCATCTCAGTCGCTAAAAGTTCCCAACCTTGTCAACCAATTCGACTAATACGCTTCGTCTAGCCTCTACAGTGCTCACATGGTGATTCCATCATACGCGAGCAACGTTACGAAGAAACTTATGATCAAAAACCCTGTAGTGTTCTTGTTAAGCAGTCAATTTACTTTACTCAGCAAGAACTTCTATTTGTGGGTCAAGAATAGTGGAACACTTCCATCCAGCTCTTCTTATCCGCGGATAATAAAGAAAACTTTCACTAGATGGAACAATTTATCTTTATAGTGCTGTTTTCCCTGAGCCGGGTGGTTTAGTTCAATCGCACTAGGTTACAGGTAGCATATCTAGACATATTTTCATAGATTACATTGGACGAGAACGATAAATGACAAACTTGGAAAGATAACACAACCAATAGGAAAAGCCAAACATATATGAGCCATAAATCAGTCACAATTAACATGGAATATTTTGGTGCAGGAATACAATTTATGTTTAGTGAAATATAAAAACATCAACAAAGGTGATTAACTAGCGAATAGATACATTTGTAAATTGTGGCGAATATTTGCAGCACAGGGTGTAAATGTTCACATAGAGTTGTTCTCTGTGCTAGGGTTTTAGCTGGCAAACGTTCCACTGTCATGTAATACATCGTCATCAGTGCATCGTAGCTTCCTTATGAAAATTCAAACTACTTAGTTAAGTAAAAGTTATAGGACCACCAAATGCCGATGAACAATATTATTCCCCTTTGCAAAGTTTGATAAAGGGAAATGAGTTTGTGTGTATGGTGTGATAATTGGGAGATGAGTGTGTAAACCACTAAGCAACTGAATATTATGTGTGAGTTTAATACTGTACCGGCAAATAACTCCTCAAAATCAACATCCTAGACTTCGACGAGATTCAGCATTGATGCCGACCTTCATACTTTTAACGGATTGGTAAGCTGAGGGCACATGGCCAATAATCCACCCCATTTGGCACGTTGACATGTTACGCTACTCATACACGACCCTCCAGATGGTTAGTCTAAGCGCATCGGTATTTCGGCACAGCTCATCAAACATACCATTCTTATGCGGCTACGCTCCAGTTTTACTTTCTTGGTCTCATACTCCTGGGTATTCTACAAATACGGAGAATTAGTGATTGGCCTGCGCCTAAAGTTCGAAAAAGGACAGTTATTAAACTGGTGAGTCCGTTCGTTTTTGTACTTGTGCAATGTAGTTTTCATATTATAACTTGCATTTATTTGTATGATAAACTTATGTACGCATGTGCGACCAGACTCCTCAGCTTACCCACATTAAGTGGACAACCCACGTGATCCAGCTCGTGCCATTCTATCCAGACAACGCAGAAACACGGTTTCTGTACACCGAGGCTGATTTCCGACGACAAGGCGTCACAGACCTACTTTCCCAAATTTTTACTATCATACGATCACTACTGAGGAAGTTAAATGGGTATTTATGGCACATATTTTCGATCCTGACATAACTGGCTTTTATACATTGATCAAAATATCCCTTTTGAAGAAAAACAATCTCACAGATCACCGACGCTTAGATGAATCGCAACGTAACATCGAACTACGTAACAATCCAGCTGCTGACGTGTTCGTACGAATGAAAGAAGTGAATGGCTATGGAGGGTCCGATGATGACTTTTTCTTTAATAACTGTGCTGGTGACACTTTAGTCGTTTGAGACTGATAACCTGTCAGCTTCAGATGGAGATCTCTAGTAGATAAACCTGTCTCCAATGTATGTCCAGTCAATGAAAAACCAGCACGTTTGGATACTGAGATGAATACTCTGTTAAGCGGCTTCTACGACATCGAAGCCGTAGGTCGTGACATACAACACAGCGCTCTATCCAATCATCAATCGCTAAGCCTCACAGTGTTGAAAATCCTAAGTTGTGTTGGTTCTACAGCACCTGTGGTGAGGAAACATGAAATTGTCGAAAACCGTGTACTTTCAATAAACATTGCACGAAATCAGGGAACTACTCCACCATCATATGTCAACGACAACCATGGCCAGCAAAAAACGTGAAAACGGAAGTTTCCCGTCTTTGCGGAAGTTAGCGTTCTTCCCGCAACCATGAACTAACATCTTCATGACCAGTTCTCCAATTCGCAAGCGGCTAAGGGAAAACCAATAACAACCTTCGTAAAATGGTGTTTATTTCAACGCGATTGCCTCCATCCAACTAACATCTATACTAGTAACTCATGATGGTGAGTCTCCTTGTCTGATGATCACATTGCGAAATAATCAACAGAATTCTATCAGCACTTAGGACTAGACAACATGAAGTTGGTTACCCTCCTCCAGTGACTAGTCAATGTAAATATTAAATATATACATCAAGAGACAGTGACGGTAAATCCACCAATGAATCACCTACAAACTCAACTCTATTCAAAATTGAATAAACAGGCGTGTCGGATTATAAACTTTATTATCACAAAATAAACTGCCATTTATCGAGTTGTAATCATTCTCAACTGTTTCTTCTTCATACGTTTTATTTTCGCAGGATTCTTTATCTATAAATTGATTAGTATAAATGTGTCATCAAAGATAACTAACCGGAACGACAATTTCTGATCGGCGTTCATTCTCTAGTTTCCGTTTGCGTTTCTCTTCTTCTCTTAAGCGTTTAGCTTTTTTAAATTCATCCCTTGCTTTTTTCCGTTCAAGAGATTCATTACGGATTTGTTTTATTTCTTCCTCCACCTTCCTACGAATATGAAAGGCGGTGTGCAAGCCCTTGTCTTTTTTAATTGCACTATGTCTAGAAAAAAAAAGCGAACAGTAATCAAGATATATAAGTATAATGTGTAGATTTGCTTTGATTTCAAGTGAAATCTTAGCTTAAGTACACATTGTGTCCAACATGATCCAACATATAATTTTATCGGTTGAAATCATACTACTTTTGCGAAATTCAGTAGGTGTGACGCAATTAGACAAAATCTTTGGCAAGTTTGGCAAGATTAATGCCTTGTTTCGTTGTATAAAATTACGTCACGCACAGTAATCCATACGAACAACATACTGCAAGTAATATAACTTCAACAAAACATCAGAGATATCTTATTTAATTTTGCTTTGCATAATATCCTTATGTAGCGTGAATAGAAGCCAAAGGCAAATGGTACACCAACCATAATACCTGAGGATTCACCGAAGGCCTGCATCTCTGGTAACAGCGTTGACTCTGTAAAAATGGTCAACGAATCTACATGGATTTCGCCAAGAAAGCATCCGAAGAGACTGCCAAAGGTTATCACGGGAGATACTAAGCTTATGAAACCTATTGAGAAGGTTTCAAAGGCCGTCAACACACGACTCAAGGATTCCACTCCAGCGCCCAGTTTAATCTTCTAGAATGATGAGGAGTCATCAGACAAAGATGCCTCAATACGTCACGGCCATGACCTGCAACTAGCCGAGTCGGCCATCAGACGTATTCTGCCTGAAAAGTCTAAAGGGGTACACATCTCCAAAGTAGTTAGGCTAGGTAAGAAGATGGACGAAAAACCTGATGATAAGAGAATTTTAAAGGTTGTTTTAGGCAACAAGGAGGAAGTGGATGTACTCTTGAGTAACGCATCCAAACTATGAAATTCGGATATCCGCATCCGACCTGACTGGCCCCTCGAGGACCGCATAAAAAGAAGAGAAGCTGTTGCCGAACTTAAGGCTCGACAGGCTAATGGTGAAAATGATCTTAAAATAGTGGGTTTTCGGGTTGTGAGGTCTTGGAAGCATTCGCTCCAAGGCCTACATGGATGGGTCATGAAACTCTTCCAACACAATGAAAGTTATCTACACTAACGTTCATAGTATTAGAAGCAAAATGACAGACCTCGAGAATCTAATCTGCGGGCTAGGTCCTGAAGTAATAGCCCTTACTGAAACCCAGTTGATCAAGGATCTAAATTTTACGCCACTACTCACAGGGTATTACTGTGTAAGGACGGATAGGCTTGTGGGTCTCAAAGGTGGCGGCATACTACTATGTGTTACGGATGACGTCCACGTACGATTAGTCACTTCTGAAGCACATGAATGCGGGACCTGTGAAGTGGCCAGTTGCGAGCTGAAGTCAAAGCATGGTTTCTGTACTATCGGGGTCATTTACCATAGTCCATCCTGCCTTGCAAATGACTTCGTACTAACCCATATACGTAACTGGAGTAGATGTAACAGATGCCTAATAGTTGGAAATCTGAATGCTCCACACAAACTGGACGGAGCTAAAAGTCTCACCACCAGGTGGTTCCTTCGAAAATGACTTACTTTTGACGGTCTAAGAATCTGCTTTAGTTCAAAACGTAACATGTGCAACACGTTACGATTTTGAACAAAAACTATGGTTATTAGATTTAGTTTTAACCCACCAATGTGAAGACATTCTGGATCTACAATACTTCCCTCTATTAACTAACAGCGACCATGTAGTACTAACTTTTGGTTTTCGGAATAATGAGTTTGATTATGACACTGCCTTCCCTAGACCTAATGTATGGCGTGTGGACATTTCAAGTCTAAGGGGTTGCGCAATCAGTAAGGACTGGACTGTCGACAAGGACTCATCAATTGAGAATGCATGGGATAGGTTTAGAACTCTATTTGAAGAGATAACGACGCCATTTATTCCATGTTCGACTTCACGATGATCTTCACATCGCCCTCCGTGGTTTAATAAAGACATTAAGAGACTGTTAAGGTGTTGAAAACGTTTATGCGACTTGTTTCTAGAAACTAGACTGGAAACATTTAAGACTGAGCACTGTAAAGTCCGTAATCTCTGCAAGACTTTGATTACACAGTTTCGAATGTCCTACGAGAAGCAGCTTGTGAGGGATTGCCAAAATTGTCCTGAAAGACTGTTTGCATTCGTCAGAAGGAGAACTAAAAGAAAAGGCGGAATCCCCTTCTTGGCGACGGATGAGAAATCCGATAGTCTGGCGGAATCTAATCTGTCCAAAGCTGAGTGTCTCTCTGATTACTTTAATGAAGTCTTCTCTGTAGATCATCATAGTGGTGTCAGCACTGTCCCATTAATAGATACAGTGTTCACAACAAAGGAGAGTCTTATAGTTGCTTATTAACCTCGAATCTGGAGACTGGAAAGATGCCATAATCAGCCCAGTCTCTAAGACCGGTAGTCGTTATTTGGTGTCTAACTACCGTCCTGTGAGTCTAACTAGCATAGTTGTTAAGATTTTAGAAAAAAATGATTCGTGACAGGGTACTTAAACATGTGGAATCAAGCAATCTTTCGGCACCACAGCAACATGGTTTTCGTACTGGGTACTCCTGTCTAACTAACCTCCTTATCGCAAGAAAGGAATGGGTTGCAGCCCGTGATTGCAAGCTGCCAATAGATGCCGTGTTTAAAGACTTCAGTAAGGCATTCGACAAAGTGTCGCATGTGAAATTACTAGGAAAGCTCTCCTCCTTCGGGTTTGGTACTTCACTACAAGCTTGGATTAAGGACTTTTTATACGACAGAAGGCAAAAAGTAAGAGTAAATGGGACACTATCAGCGTGGAAACCTGTGATGAGTGGAGTTCCTCAAGGAACAATCCTAGGTCCACTACTTTTCTTTTTATACATTAACGAACTGCCAAATATGCTCAACTCGTCGGTACTGTTATTTGCCGATGATGTAAAGATTTGGAGAGCCATACGCAGTGATGCAGATAGGTATGCACTTCAGGCGGATTTAGACGAACTAGTAGGTTGGTCCAAACGTTGGTGCTTGGAAATCAATTCTAACAAAAGTGCAATAATGCACATTGGTCATAGCAATTGTTTCCAGTATTCCGTTGATGGTAACCACGCCTGGTTAACCAGTCCACTAGTTACTAGCCGGTCCTAAGCCCGGGTAAACAGGGAAGGTTGGGCATACCACTAGCAACACTACCACGCAAAACAAATCTAACCGCTAAACAAGTCTAACCGCTAAACAAACTTCAAAGCACAAACAAAATATAAAAAATAATAACAAAATTATTCCTCAATGGAATCGGAGAGGCGAAATGACGTCGGTTGGTGAAAGCCTTCGGGAAGCCAATTGGCCGATGTGTCTTCGTCTCTCTCGATGAAAGCGAAAGTAAACGTGAGGATATGGAATGTCCGTACGATGTTTGAACCCAGCAAGGCAGCCCAGATTGCAAACGAGATGAAGAGGTATCACATTGAAGTGCTTGGAATTTGCGAAAGCAGATGGAATGGGAGTGGACTCTCCAAACTGTCAATTGGAGAGAAGTCAATAATCTCCTCCGATATTGTCACCCAGACGACAACCACGAGCACACTGAGCTTTGGAGTGGCTATCATGATGTCCCCCTCCCAACAGCATCGAAGGCCCTCATGCAGTGGGAACTAATCTCCTCCTGCAGGATCATGACAGCAAGGTTCAACTCAAAAGGAAGGAAGGTCACAATCATGCAATGCTATTCTATGCACCTACAAATAATGTGGAGCAAGAGGAAAAGGAGAAATTCTATAGACAACTTCAATCAACACTGGACAAGACCCCACCACAGTTGGTGATATCAAAATTCTAATGGGTGGGGTGACATGAATGCCAAACTGGGAGTGGACAACACAGGAAGAGAACTAACCATGGGTCGAGAAGCACTCGGTGAGGTGATGGACGAGAATGGAGAATAGTTTGCCGAATTCCGTGCATCCAACGATTTGGTAATTGGAGGCAGGCAGTGTGTTCAAGCTCAAGGATATCCACAAAGCGACATGGATTTCACTAGATGGACACACTAAAAATCAAATCGACTTTATCTCAATCTCAAGAAAATAGAGACGCAGTCTACTGAACACAAGGTCTAGAAGAGGAGCAGATGTGGGTTTACATCACTCACTATCTGGTACAAGGAACCTTCAAAATCAAGTTAAAAGCCTTCAAGGAAGCTGGTGATAATAGACCACAGTCCAAGTTCAACACCCAGAAACTGAAGGACGAAACTATAAAGGAAATCTTCACATCAGTCAGCCATCAAGGCAAACTGGGAGATATCGAGGAACATCCCTGAAGAAACCTGTGTGGAAGAACACTAGAAGTCTTTGAAAGAGATGTGGAAAGAAACCTGCACAGACGTATTAGGAAGGAAAACGAAAGAAGACAAGGAATGGATCTCGACGAATACATGGAAGCTGATAGAGGAGAGGAGGATGATGAAGCAGAAGATACACCAGTGCAAGGATGCTCAACGACAGTAGGAACTGAGTACAATGTATAAGACACTGGACAAAGAAGTGAAGAAGAGTGCGTGCAAAGACAAAATACACTTCCACAACACACTGGGAAGTGAAGCAGAATAGGCTTCAGGTAGGAGAGACCTGACAACATTGTTTCAAATAACCAGGTTGCTATCTGGGAAGAGATCAACGCAGACGAAGCCAATAAAAGATGATGTCGGAAATTTATTTACGAAAGAAGAGAAACAAAGGAAACAATGGGCCGACCACTTCAAGACGCTATTGAATCGACCACCACCTGCACTTCGCCCAGAAATACCATCTACAGCCGCTGAACTACAAGTGAACATAAATCCTCCAACAAAAATGGAAGTCCTGAATGCCATAAAGCTACTGAAATGCGGGAGAGCAGCAGGACCAGATGGAATTCCTCCAGAAACACTGAAAACAGAAGCAGGGACAACAGCGGACATGCTCACACTAATATTGTAGAAGGTCTGGAAGGAAGGGAAGGTACCAGCAGATTGAAAGAAGGGTTATCTTATCAGACCGCCGAAAAAGGGCGACCTAAGACTTTGCAAGAACTGGCGCGGAAACACGCTCCCGTCCACTCGAAGCAAGCAAAATCTTATGCCGCATCATGTTGGAGAGACTAAAGAATGCGCTGGATTCAAAACCACGACCGGAACAGGCCAGCTGGATTCAGGAAGTAGAAATCATGTGAGGATCAAATCGCAACGCTACACTATGCATCATCATAGAACAGAGTATAGAATGGTAGTCAACCCTCTACCTCAACTTCATCGACTTTGAGAAGGACTTTGACAGCGTCAACCAAGAAGTAATTTGGCAGTTGCTTCAACACTACGGAATACCACAAACCTCTATCAGCCTCATTCAACAACTATATGAAGACACCACATGCCGGTCAAGTAATTCACAATGGGAAGCTCAGTGATGCTTTTGAAGTGAAGTGAAGACAGGAGTGAAACAAGGTTGCCTACTACCACCCATGATATTCCTGATTGTGTTGTGGTCGACTGGATCATGCAGCAAACAGTGAGGAGCGAGAAGAGGGTGATACGCTGGCTGGACTGCGGAAAAGAACCTAGGAGATTTGGATTTCGCCAACGATGACTTGTGTCCAATGTCACACAAACTTGAAGATCTACAGGTGAAAACTAACAAGTCGACAGAAGAGGTAAAGCAGGGCAACGAAGACGGGACACCATTCAAGTGAATATAGAGAAGACAGAGGTGAGGAAGATACCGCACCAACAACTCCAACAATAACAACAAACTACAATCACCATCAATGAGAGAAAGTTAAAGGAAATAACCTCCTTCACCTACCCAGGCAGCACTGTTTCAACTACAGGTGGCACAGGCACAGACGAGGATGTCAAGGTCAGAATCGGAAAAGCAAGACAGGCATTCACCGGCCTGAAACCAGTGTGGAGATCTTCTGCACTCAGCATAAAGCATGAACAAGATCCGGATTTTCAACACCAAATCAGTCAAGTCAGTGCTTCTGTATGGTTCAGAGACTTGGTGCGTTACGAAAGGGATTCCCAAGTAAACTACAGACATTCATCAACAACTGCCTACGTTGGCTCGCTATTGAAGATCAGATGGCCAGGATAGTGAGAATAAGCAACAAGGAGCTCTGGGAACGAGCCAACCAAGAACCTATCACCCAACAAATATGCACTGGAAGGAAGTGGAGATGGATTGAATCGGGCACACACTGAGAAGGCCGACTGGGGACATCACGCGTCAGGCCAAGCCCTCGAGTAGAACCCCCATGAGAGGCGACAAGTCGGGCGTCCAAGGCGAGGGTGACAAGGAGGAGGTCGTGCGAGGAGGAAATGAGAGCTTGTGGGCTGTCGTGGAGCCAGAGTTCAAAAGACTTCAGAGAACAGATTGGAATGGAGACGTGCTACTGAAGCCCTTTGTTCCACTAGGAACCCAAGGGACTAATAATAAAATAATAATTCCGTTGATGGTACACCACTACTTCCAGTCCTTGAAATAAAAGACTTGGGTGTCATCATTAGTCATTATTTGAAAACCTCGGCAAGCTGCAATGCAGCTGCAGCAAAGGGCTTCCGTATATTATGGTCCCTCCGCAGAGCTTTCAAATTTTTTGATGAGGACATGTTTAGAATACTCTACTCTACGTTAAACCTCACTTAGAATACTGCATTCAGGTGGCCAGCCCATGCTTAAACAAGGATGCTGACGCACTTGAGCGTGTTCAAAGGGTAGGTACTAAGCTTGTGGCAGGCCTTTTGAACCTGTCCTAGATCAGCTACATTTATTCCCACTGTCTTACCGTAGAAGACGGGGTGACCTCATACTGGCACTTCGTATTCTTAATAATGACTTCGGTACTGATATGTCCTATTTTTCTCCCTTGCTAGAACTGACTATCTCCAAGGGCATCACAAGAAAACTCAAAAACCGCGATCGAATCAACTTAGCGTGAATCTGCGTTTCTCCCATCGTGTTGTCAACGACTGGAACTCCTTACCTTAGCAAGCAGTATCAGCACCTTCTGTCAACGCGTTCAAGGAGAAACTAGATCTTCACAGAGATATCCTCTGCAAGGATTAACATAGGCCAACTGGCATACTATCCTTATAACTGAAACTGGACGCATGCGTTCAAGTATGCACGCTTAAGTTATCCTGTAAGTGCGTAAATTATGCAAGTAGTCCGTAAAAATTCGCTTGAATGTCGCATTTCAGATGAAAGCATTGACCCGCATTATTTCTGTATTAGCACGCAATATTTCAGGAATAATATTTGACTAGGTCACTCTGGTACTTGTATGTGTACTGAGATACTAGGCATACATAATGAAATAAAAATACGATCCACCATAAACTTCATTACTTGGCAGTACGAACTGTCTTCCAACTACATCCTGACTTCGGTTTACCTCTAACTGGGGAAGTCATTTTGAAAAATTAACGAGCACGGCATCAAGGTCAATAACACCACAACGAAATCCATTGAAGCATTCAAAAGCGCGAAATATTCAATGATGGAAACTTTCTCCTCAAGAAATCAGTCTCCGTGACTATGCAGCCATATTCATGGAAATAAAAAACAAAGGAGTACGTACCTGATTGGCTAACATGTCAATATTTGCTTACCAAAACGGTTCAAATAGTTGTTGATGGATCAGGAGAAGCTCTCACTTAACTGGCTTCCGTGTCTACAATCCATGGATCACTACTCTCTGTGGTTGTAAACCTGTTCACAAGTAAAGAAATAGGAAAACGTGGCGGTTAGAACGTGAAAATTCAACCAGTTCCGCGCAGATCCTAGACACACGTCAAGTGGGTATCCAGTAGGCGTTTAAAGGATTCAGAGGAAGTAACCTGGCTCACATCTTCAGGAAGAGGGTTCCAGGGTTTAGCAACTCTTAGGGAATAGAAGTTGTGCCTGACATTTAATCTGCTATTTTTAAGACTTGTTTTCTTTGTGTCCACTAAGATTAGTGCTACAGCTAAGGTTTAAAAGGTGATGGAGTGGGTGACCAGGCGTGCTGAGAATGTTGTGAGTCATTATCAAGTCTCCTCTAAGCCTTCTGCACTTCAGAGGATGCAGATCAAGCTCAACCAGTCGCTCTTCGTGTGTTTTCGACCCGAGTCCTCGAACAGACTTCGTTGAACGCCTCTGAATGCGTTCTAAGCTTCGTTTGTCCTTCTGGAGACAAGGGAAAAGGCGATGGTCCCGAACTCCAGGTGAGGCCGCATGAAGCTGTTGAAAATTTGATGTAAGCACCTACGACTAAATTGTCTACAAATTTGTCCAAGAGTTACTAACGCCAAGTTCCCACAAAATGCTTTCCTATCGCAGTTGGGATAGGATTTTAAGTCTTGAGGGACTAATACAACCATATCGTTCTCCGTCAGTGATGCTCCAAGTTCAAAGCCGTTGATGCTATATGCATGAGATATATCGTGTTTTACGTCTATCACCTTGCATCCCTCGGGATTAAATGCCAGGCTGTTGCCGACTGCCCAGTTGTGAAGTTCGGTTAAGTCTCCCTGTAGAGAAAATCTGTCTTCTTCACTTTTGATTTCTCTCTAGAGTTTCACGTCGTCCTCAAAAGAAGGATTTCGGAAGGAACCTGTTGGGGCAAGTCATTCGTATATATTAGAAAAAGGAGAGGCTCTAGTACTGAAGGTTGGGGAACACCACTGGGACATTCTGTTTCTTCAGACAGAGAAACTCACTTGAACTCTAAATGAACGGCCACGTAGATATGAAGACAACCAGTCAATGAGCGGAGGTCGAATCCCGATCAATTTCAGTTTATCAACAAAGCAGTCGTGATTCACACGAACAAAGGCTTTAGTAAAGTCCAAGAAGATAACATCAACTCATCCTCGACGGTCAACAATGAGAGTCCACTTATCTACTACGGTGAGTAAATTGGTGACGCAGGAGTACCCTTTTAGAAATCCATGTTGCTGGGGTGCGGAGAAATTTATCTTTGTAAGGTAATCCCTCAGTGCATCGTATATTAACGATTCAACTACTTTGGAAGAAATGGATGGAAGCGTCACCGGTCTACACTACTTCAGATTGCTTCGTTGGCCCCCGCTGAAGATTGGTGCTATCGGCCCAGCTTCCAAGAGCCGGGTACTATCCCCTGACTCGGAGAACTCTCAAATAATTTACTTAAAGGTTTGGACAAGATTGAGGTTCCCCCCGCAGTACCGCCGGATGGGTTCTACCTGGTCTCCGAGGGGTGTCCTTGGTCAGCCGTAGCGGTTTACACTGTACTAGCCCAACGCTCAGATCGACGACTGAGAGTCCTACTTCGTTAGTAGGGTATTCGTAGGCCTCTGAGTAGGTGGACGATGACGAAATGATTTGCAAGCACTGGTCGGCCAAGAGCTCAGCTGCTTCAGTGTCGCTAGTAGCCAATCCGTTCGCACCCAGTAGTTGAGGGATTCCCGCCTTATCCTGCCGGAATGAAGCAGCGTAGTGGAACAGAAGTCCCTCATAAAAAACAGACGTGTTTGTAGGCCTGACCTGATGCCGCTGCCGACGGGCCCTCAGTACCTTCGTACATATGTTTGTTGTCCTTTTGAATCTTCTGTGAGTATATTTGGTGCCAATCTATTAGCGTTCAGCCCGGTGGTGTCTCGTTAACATAAGTGGTTTTCCAGTGTAGTTCCTTATTACCTTATGTAACCTGAAGCACTTCCGTTTCGAAAGTGGAACAGACTGACTGAAAGTATGCATGATCTTGTTAGGTATGAATCTTCAATGGGTGTTCATATCTCGCCATACATGGTTACCTTCCCAATCTGTCTGTTCCAATGCGGTCAGCAAAGCTGGAGTGTTAAGTCGTCTGAAGTTCCGACGACGTTTATTGAAAGGTCTTGTTAGATTGGTTTCATAGACAAACTGGAAGCCGATAACAAAGTGGTCACTTCTTCTCAAAGGAGGAAGGACTGCTAGGTTATCAATCAGGAATTCTTCACCTGTGAAGAGGTGGCCTAAGCGAGATGGGGCTTGCGTCTCCCCCACTCGAGTTACCGTTCTCACATTTTCCTTAAGCCATAGCCCCCAATCAGATGGAAGAATCTGGCTTCGGTGGAATCGTCACCCCGCTAAATGCGTGATCCGCAAAGTTGACTTTCGGTAGGCTAAAATCGCGTGTGCGTGTGTGTGCCCCAGTTTTAGAGAGCAACTGGTTGCGTCTAGCATCTGGTCATCATGCTGTAGGTTAGGAGATAGCTTCTTATAAATGACTCCCTTCAAACACTTCATAGTCTTGGACAGCTTTATGGTGTACCAAGTGGACTTTCGAAGCATTCCTGTTCTTGAAAACGGATTTGGTGGGCTGAGAGAGAGGAGCTGACGTAAAGTGCCACCCCACCTCCTGCCAGCCTTCCTTTCATTGGGGAACAGCGCGGTATTCGCGATTGCCAGCTCCTGATTTGACGTGCCTGGAGAAGCCCATGTCTCAGTGACACCGATAAGTTCAGCATAAGTGTTCTTACTCAGTTCCCGCAGCCCGTCTAGTTTGTTCGGTAAACTGGGCATTTGTATCGATGCAACATATGCTATCTATGTGGAGTGCAATACCTGCACCCTCTTTGTTTTCCAGTTGGCTGGCTGAATCCTCAGGCTTGGGGGATGGGAATATGCCTAAGTGCTTCCTACCAGTGAAGTGTTCCCTGCCTCTTCCCCATTTTTTGCATCTAAGCAGTCTTCCAGAGGAACAACTAACTCTATAGCTTTTTCTCTCCTTGTTGCAGCCTTTCTTCCCGTGACCTATCAGGTTGCATGCGGACTCCATTTGGCAGGCGATTTCTGCTCGCCCAGAAAGCCTACAGTGTGGATGCTGCCAATTGAGAGGACGGAAAGACCCCTTTGATCTCCCTTGGCCTGACGCCGTCGCCATTTTTGGGCACCAGTGAGACGCCTTCGGGGATTACTCCCTTGGGGTTCGTAGTATTCTTGAGGAACTTCCACTCACGGCAATTACAGCGAATATCCTCAGTGCCTGGGTTTTCTATTATGCTTTGTACTGTTAGGTTTCTTCCTCTAAAGTAGGCGCCACGATCACCACCCAGCAGATTCTTTACAGCCCTTCTCTCAGAGTATGGGATATCTGGCAGTATCCTCACTTCCCCTTCAGCTTTTAGCACCTGAGATACTGAGAGTACATCCTCGACTTTTGAAGCGTGGGTTACATCTTTTGTGCTTTCCTCGTGCTTTCGGATTTTGGCAATCTGGCTACGATACAGTTACATCTTCCGCCTGCAAATTAAAGCTTCTAAACATATACTTTATCCGCTAACCGTTGATGTCATTCTCTCCGCAACTATTGGTTGCATATCTCTGTTTTTCATCAATACGTGAACTTTGGTCTGGACTTCAGTGTTCTTCGCTATTTGACGGGAAGTTGTAGCGTCTTGCTGCTTTATCTACCAGTTATTGACAGACAACCAACGACTTCAATCTGTGTTTCAGATAAGTCTCTAATCTTGCTATTTTGCTGTCAGACAATAAATTTTTGCTTCTTTATGTCTGTGCCTTGCAGCCTTAACATGAGTAACATTATTGCTGCCGTAAACAAACCAATCCACAAAGCTAAGAAATCAAAAGTTTTGAATCCGTCACTAGGGTCTGAAAATGGTTTACTTATTAACGGTCCTTCCGTCAACCTGTCTGACGTCATGACTGACGTATATAATGGTGTTATTGCTAATAAGCGTAATATTGTTGACAACAGTGATGCGACTGCCGATCTTCAGCGTAAACTAGACTGTCTTACACATCTGATTTCCCTACAACGGACTTATCAGTTGATAACTTTATCAAGTGTGACACATTAGTGAGCTTTGTAGCCATTGGAGCCAGCAAACGATCTACTTCGTCGCACAACTCCATCGTCTTCAATGTCCCTGATAGTTTTCCATTAGGAGGTGTTAAAAATGATCTCCTCCGAGCCTGTGGTTTGCATGAATCTGGTTGCACAGTCCGGAGTCTCAGGAAGAGGGCTAGTAAATACCCCTGTCCAATATTATTCCAGTTTAGCTCACCCCTTGATGTGAGGCACTTTTGTGGTTCACAGAAATCTGTAAGACTCTTAAGAAGCTGTGAGAATGTTAGGGCACTTCCAGATCTTACCCCGTGTCAAAGACGGACAAGTGTTTCGAAACCTTATGAAGTCCCTCTGGAAACTTCATCAAAACCAATGGTCACCCGAAGCTTACCGGCGCCTGGGAGTCAGATCCTAACACCAGATGACATTATAAGTGTAGATCAAAAAGGCTGACCGAGCATATTGTTGCAAGTACATCAGTTGCTACTGTTTCGTCACCCAACATGGTAGTAAACACTGAAACTGAAGGCGAAATCTCCGCCAGTTACGCAGATTTACTCTCAGACGATGTTGATATGGATGGCAACGGTAATGATGCGTCCGATATGCTGCTGATTCCCTCGAGTTTATCGACAAAACCTGTAGTTACGCTGCTAAGCCCTTGCCG